AAATTTTTTTTTTTTTTTTTAAATGCTTCAGTGAGCAATAACCACGCCATTTCTCGCAATTGAAAATTTATTATTACTTTTGTTTGAAACTGCCAAAAACCGAAATTGGATTCTGTGAATTATAAACTACTTTGATCTTACAGGAGTTGCAATGAAATTTATTTATTTTATTTAAAATTAATTTATCTTGATTTCACGTTTCCAAGGGAAAAATTGAAAAATTGTTCTTGCTCGTTTGTTCCAAAGTACACATAATCAAAATTTGTGGAACCACACCCGAATCGCTGAAATGTTGTATTGCTACAAGCAAACTTTTTAAAAATTTTTTTATGCAAAAAAAGTATCGGTGGAGGAGCTGTCGAAACAACGGGCGGAAACAATACAATATTAAATGTATACAACACACTCACACGCATTAACAAAAATATGCACCAAAGCCATGTATAAATCACAAACAACAAGTACTCGGCTTCTGACGTCGTCTACCTACATCAAAGAGAAGCAACTTGTTTATAATATTATATCTATATACACGCACAAAGACACCGTGGACAGGTAAGAGATGTACCCAATATAGAGTATTCTTCGAATTTGCAATTCTAATGCCAAACGGCGCGCGGATAAATTCTCTTTGTATAAAATCCGGTGCGATCGGACACTGCAGGTGTCCCCGGCGCAAGTAAGTAGACACACCGGACTGCACTACAGCTAAAAACTCCCTTTGAGCCCGACGTGAAATATATTTGCCCGTCCGAGCGAATTTCACGCTTCTTAAATGTATGCGCGTACATTAGCATCGGCTTATCGTAAGCTCTATACACACACAGGTACAAAAAAATTGATCGGCGCGTTAGATGCAAACCGAGTGCTTTTTAATCGTTTTTTTCTGAATTAATTTTCGATAAGTCTCAGTCGAGGCTAATGAATCAACGGAAATAAAGAATTTCGGAGTCGAGGAAGCCACACGATTGTTACATAGTATAATATACATAGGTAATAAACGCATGTGTATACGCACAAGATACTGCAGTCGATCGCAGGTGAAAATGATTGGGCATATTTGTAGGTATTTACACCGTGACAGCTACCCCTACCAAAATATCGTACACACAGGGTAGGTACGTGAATGCGTGTGCAAAGATCGCGGGCGCGAGCTCCCGCATGAATATTAATGGGGGGGGGGGGGGTATGGATGTAGGAGAGAGCGGGCCAAAAGCGGAGGTAAAAGGAAAATATAGGTGTGCTCGGGCTGGAGAGGAGAAGGAGAGAGGAAGCGAGAGAATAGCGGGTGACGTTGGCTGGTGGTCGCCACTCGAAATAATTAATCAGGGGTAGTGCATGCGACGACACGGCCCGGCGCTACCTGATATGCCTACACCCCGCGTCTCCCGAAAGACACGTGACACGACGACGCGACCAAGTACCCCAACTGCAGCCTCCACGCTTTTTCACTTCGGGGGGTAGGTAGATACGCGTCCGGTTGAAGCTGCCGTACCGAGGAAAGGATTTTCGCTTTTCAACTTTGCTCGGCTTTCGTTTCGCTCCCTCTTTTTCCTCCACATATCAACTCGTGGATTAGGTACCCGCGTTATTACGCGATGTAATTTTACTGTACCGAGAAATACATACATATAATATTACCACCCCACCTAGCCCCCCGGGGGTGAGCCACGTTACGAGCCGTATGATTCATAAAAGCTGTCTGTTTCTAAAACTTTGCTTGTTCAACGTACGATATGAAGTTTCAACGATTTAACGAGCGGTTTTGCTTTTACGAAAAAAAAAAAATTAATTACTAAATTACTTTTTTTTTCATGAATGATTGATGAATTTTTTTTTTCCCTCTCGTCGATTCCACCGATGTGTGACTTTAACACCTTCTCGCAGAAAACGAATATATTTCATCATTACAGATGAAATCCCGTTGAGTTAAGTACACGTGTATATGGATGTACACACTTGTAATTATAAGCGACGCTGCGGGCAAACGAAAACTTCACCCTCTGTTGTTACTGTATATATATATATATATGTCACTGCTCGCATAACGTCAAGAAAGTTGCCAACAAGCAAGCGAGTACCGAAAATGCATAAGCTCGAGGCTGGAGTTAAAGAGCACGCAGACTACTCACCTCTGGCGTCGTGCAAGGCCTCGGCGAGGTAGGGCAGCTCGAAAGCCAGGTGGAGCAGTGCGAGCATCGGCATCATCAGGAGCGGCAGAGCGGGCCAACGAAGGCGGCCCCCGTTCCATCTCATCTTCGTTGTTGTTATTCCGGATGAGCCTCGGAGCTCCCTTCCGCGCTTTCTCTCTCTCGACTCCCTTAGTCCGGTCCTCTCTCTCTCTCACGTTCCTCCTCTCATGTTTCTCCCCTCCAGCAGTAGCGTATCAGCCGTGCAGCCGAGCCGAGCTGATACGCCCCGGGCCAGCTCTTCTTTCCTCCCTCCCTACCTCTCGCCTTCTCACCCTTTGGAGCTACGAGAGATCGCTGATGCACGCCCGCCCAAGCGACGATGCTCGAGAGAACTCTGCCGCCGAGGAGAAGGAGGACAGCACAAGGGTGCTTCTTATCACCTGCCGAGATAACACCTGCAAGACAACACACGGGGTTAGTTGAATGCGTGTTCGCACATATATGTATACTTATAACATTGGGGTGTGTGTGTGTGTGTGTGTACGTGGTGAGCCCGAGCTTTCGAGCTTATAATATAGGGTTACACGCGCCCTCACCGACCCTGTGTATATAATTAAACAACCCAACTCTCTCTGAATGCGCGGAATGCGAATCGGCGTACATACACCGTAATGTATACGTATGTATAAGCAGGTGTACTTGGTGCGCTTTCCCAAATTCAGACACGGCCCTCCCCCTCTTGAATTTAGGAAAAACAATAACAAGAGCGAAAAAAATGCCCCCAAGGGCTCCCTTCCTTCCTCCCTCCCTCCGGAATTTCAATGCCACGCAAATATTTATCCACCCACCAAGAAAGTACACGTATAATATATACCTGTACTTATAAGCTTGGAGTCATAATATACGCACGCGTCGCTTGCCACGCAATACGGGGGGGATGACGGATAATGAAGCCGGGAAGAGGGGGGGGGTATAGGCTGTTAATTGGTTGATTGTACACGTTATTCTCTCTCGAGTGAAGCAACTTCGTATACTGAGTTAATTTGTATTCATTCATTAATTTGCAACGAGCAATACGTATATCATGCATTCATGAGAGCAAAAATACATACGCATAGGCAAACGCAACCGGTGTAAGGTATATAGAGCAATATAGCTTTGAGAAACGGCGAGCTTGCGTACTATGTACCTGCTCAGCCGTACATTATGCAATGTGGAGCACTTGATGCAAGCGGATAACGAGAAACGAAGCTGTATAGCATCAGCTCGAGCTAACTTGTTACCATATAGTTACATATCCATCTCGCAATCGCATATACCGCGGATTGAGGGTGGCTCGGTTGCATCACGACCGCAACGTGTGCTATATGCATGTAGGTATACATGTTTTGGGAGGTTTATCAGACGGGGATTTTACTATCTACGTACCTTACTTCCATTCGCCCGAATAGTGAAACGTACGGCTAAGCTGAATTTTCAAAAAAATATTCGTATGTACATCTCGTTATACTCGAGGGGAGAAAAAAAAAAGATCCGCTTAAGTACACGATACATCAGATTGATGGATCTGAATTCAGGATCACTTGAAACTTGGCTTATACCCCTCGAGGGATGGACGATTCGTACAATGGCTCTGGAAAAAAGACGCCAGCAGCGGGGATATTACAGAGGTATTAAAACTCCCTCCTCCGGGGCAAGTTGAACAAAACTAGTTACAGAGGGCATCATCAGCTACGTATTGCTAAATCCCGAAAAAAAAAATCAAACGTCACGCGCGGGAGGCTCCTCCGAGTGTTGTTTGTTGTTCCAGAAGAAACGGTATATGTATATACCGATACCCGGGCAAATCCCTCGGTGTGCTTTCGTCGACCGCGTTCTCGCGCGATAATGCCAGGATTTCGCCGCACGGGCGTTTAGGGAAGCAGGTCACGGCCGCCGGCTCTCCGAAACTCTAAAAAGTTTCGCCGAGGGATTCCCCGGGGATAATCAGGCCACTGCGAGTCCTGTATGCGTACGACTCCCCCATACGTATACGTATGTATACATATATACACACCCCCGTAGGTATAAGCGCTACACATTTCTCTCCTCCCCCTCTCGTACGCGCTCGCATTGCAAATAAGCCGGCCACTTGCGTCGCGATACATAATCCACCCCCTCTACCCTGCCCATATCTTACTCTCTTTGGACTGGCTTTTCTCCTTGCCGCTATGTATACTTTACTTTACTTTGCCTTCTTCCTTCCGCCCTTTAGCTCGTTCCGCTCCTTTTTCTTCCCCCCCCCTCTCCTCCCCTCTATGGCTGCACGGACACGCCAACCGGTGAGCGATGGTGCTGGCCTACTTGGCTGCGGGACTGGAATTTTCGTGGGTTGTCGCACGCGAGCCTCTCCCTCCTCGACAATTGCATGTATCGCTCTGCACAATTTTTTTTCCATTGCACGGACCTTTTTCCGTATTCCGGCGACACGTGCCGCGTGCGTAATTTTTCAATCCGTTGTACCTACGTGCGTTGGGACGAAAATTCCCGAGCTGCACGTCCGTTCGATTACAAAAACGAGGGGAGGGGGGCGTAGATAAGGATCGTCGCGGCTCTCCATTTTGTCGAATTTTCATCTCCAGGCGCTTATCTTTTAATCCATCCGACCGTAGTGGCCGCTTTTGACGGGCTCTCGGGGCCAATCTGGCAGATAACGCGTGTACCTCGCGTGACTCGCTCGGGATCAAAGACGCTGGTGGAGCAGCCGGCGCCTCTCCCTCCTCCCGATGCTCTTTGTGCGCGCCGACTGTCGATGAAAAGTGAGCGTGCGCCCGACAGACGGAGACCATCGGACGAAAAGAACAGGTGAACGCGGACTCGTGTGTGTTTTCTCGAATTGAGTCATCCCATGCGGGAGACAAATAGTCAAAGCAACCCATTTTTTTTTCTCTCTTCTCTGCAATAGCCGAATCGTTGAGTATTTCGCTAATCAACGAGCAAAAGAGAGAGAGAGAAGTCGAAGAACCCAATCGAGAAAGTTCAATCGTAACGGAGCAAGAAAAGGACCAAGGGGTCGAGAAATGTAAATAAGTGTACACAACGGGAGGGGTAAAAACAAAGGAAGAAAAGTTGGCGAGTTTCAAGCTGAGGTAGAAAAACCAGGGCCGATAATTTCAGCGGGAGCAATTACGGGATTCGATCGGGGAGGTGAATGGACGAAAACGACTTTGCCCGGGGAGACTCGGACGCATCCGAAGCCCCTCGAAATAGACAGGGCACCGAATTAGAGGCGATCTCGGCTTCAATGGGCTTTTACTTCTCCACGCGGAGGAGGGAAAATCGACGAGAAAGGGCGGCCCTGCGAAACTCGTCCTCTTTTCCGTCCCTTCCCTCCGTTGTGCGCGTCGCAAAGCTCAAAGAAAAGCATCTGCCGAGTGGACCTTTTTCGGCAGCCCGACAATGGACCGGCTTCCACGGGGAGGACGGTTTGTGCGCCTTTTCTACGGAAAACCCGTAGCTGCTATCGCGCAATATCTCCCTCTCTTTTCTTTCACCGGATAATTGCTCGACTCTTGCGGTATACGAGACACGATAGCTCTCCTCTCGAATTGAATTTATACTCGAAGACGGGGCCAATTAATTTTTCTTTCGTTACCCCATCTCCCGTATCAATTTGCGTATGGAATTTACAGCCCGATAAATCCGCGAGACAAAGAGCAGATTGGCGAGAGAGGCGTCATGAGTTATAGGCGCTACGACAGCTCCGCTTGGCCGAAGAGACAAAAAATGGGACGTAAATCGTCTCAAGCCCTGTTTACGCGCTGCGTGTTCCTTCTGCTGCCGCTTGTACGGAGGGCCAAGGGAGACAACGCGAAAGACTACTCGGAAGGAGGGCCTTTCTCGAAAGGAAAATCAAGTGCCATAAATTCGCGCGATTCAGACGCGGGTTATACCTTTCCTCCTCAACGGGGAAGAATTCCGTGGGGCTCGCAGACAAGCCGTGCGTCATTTCGCCCTGCATGTATACACCTATATACACCACCGCGACATCCCCGCGTTTTTACAAGCCGCACGTACACGCAACTGTATACAAGCGACGAAGCAATACCTACATTGGGGACGGGGGGGATTGCTATTTGTCTTGAAAGCTTAGGGCAATTTTACGAAATCGTTGCTTCGACTCGGAGATTTATCGCGGGGCTCCGGAACCTCCCTCGGTGCGCGCACTCTATTCCCGGACAGCTTTTGCAACTTTGGTGCGCCGAATCGGAGCTTTCGTCGAGCTATCCCGAGCGAAAAAAAAAAAAAAAAAAAAAGTATATTGTTTATTACCGCCTCCCTTGCGGGAAAATAATGTACAAGCAAGTGATGCTTTAATTTTTGGTACTTTTGGCTTGGTTGGTGGTCCGCGAACGGGAGTGGATGTTTCTTTTAGAAATCATTGAAATTCTTGTAAATATATTAAAAGGCCCACAACGGTTTTCCCTCGAGTATACAACCACGTACCTGAAGAGATCGAGGGAAGAAGGGAAAAAAAACCCAAGAGCCCCACCGCCGATAAATCCTCGGAGCCACTCGTCCCGTGGTCCGCATTGTTATACGGGCGAGCGCGTGTTATTTCCCGGCACGCCGAAACCGAAAAGGGGGGGGGAGGGGCCCGCAACTTTTAAAGTCAATAGAAATATGAGTAAATACCTACTACACGGATAAATCGGCCGAACGAGGGAGCTTGAATGGGCCGCGCGCGGACAAAGCGTCCGTAGGGCCCACTATGGAGACCCGCACGGGGAGGAATAAAAAGGAAGAGGAGTGTACACAGGTATATACAACGTATACACACAACGTTATAGAGGCAGCCAAGGTGCGCGGGGTCTCTCGAAAGATCGGAATTGGCGGTGTAGTGCCCCCAAATATATATATATATATTTATGTATACTTATACACGTGCAGGGAAAACACAAAGCCCCGGGTCTTGTTATTCTCGGAACAAGTATACCTACCGCACCATAGCCGTACACCCATCCTCCTCCTCTCGATTTACGAATATTTATACGCCTCGCGCCACTTGAATTATCGTCGTAGTTTCGCATCGCG